AAGTCCAATGGAGTGGGCGATGGAATTTTCTTTGGTATACATAAAGAAATTAAGATGAAAAATGTCCTGTTTATACCGGAATTGGAGGGAAGCATATTATCAGTCCCGAAATGGATAATGCAAGGCTTCACAGTAAAATTCGGAGGCCAACAGTGTTTTATAACTATCAAAGATGAGTTGTATGCAAGTGCAATTCTAAACGGAGGCCTATTTGTTATGGATGAGAGTCATTGGTGATGTTGACGTCGTGCATTCATACCTGGCACCGTCGATTTATAAATCGTTATATGGGTCGTGATATGGATACACCAGAGCAGAATGGTGTAGCTGAAAGAAAAACAGAAGCCTGATGGAAATGGCAAGATGCATGCTTTTGACGCGAATGGCAGAAGCTTTAAAATAATGGGCAGAAGCGGTTAACGCAGCAAATTACTTACAAAATGGACTACCGTCGGCAGCAACTTATTTAACACCTTATGAGGAGTGGTATTACAAAAAGCCAAACATGATGCTCTTTCAAGAGAATATATCTTCGTGGGATATTGTGATGAAACAAAGGGGTATCGTTTATTATGTCTCAGCAATAATAAAAATATCATGAGCAGAGATGTTTTTTTTTAAGTCAAACGTTGAATTTACGGAAACTGTAGTCAAAGAAAATTATGAAATCGGAGAAGGATCAAATGATAATGAAGATGCTAAAAATAACATAGCAGTGGAGTACATTATAAACAGTTTATAATGTACTCCACATTTACTACATGTAGTCATGGGAGTTGCAATCTTACATAATCTGCAAACGTCATTTTTCACCATATACAACCCAATGATGATGTGTTACTGGGATATGGTGTATACCTCCAATTTTCCGAACTTTTGTAACGAGGGGCGTTAGTCACTTCGATTCCACCATTATTTGAAACCTGATTGTCAGCGTCTTTCGAAAGCCGTCCTCTTTTTCGTGGAACATTTGATGCCGAAGCATTTGACGTTAATAATTCCTTTGCTATTTCCAGTTGAAAGTTTATTAATCTCATATGAGATCCCGTTTCGTTAGCTGTTACGAAATCTTTTCGATAAAGAAGCCACACATTTGTGACACACGAACTCAAACACCAGTAAAACATGCGCATATACCAATTTCTAGAACGACGGTTCACTTTATACAGTTCTGCAAGTATATCGGCTAGGTCAACACCTCCCAAGTACTTGTTGTAATCATGTACAATAGCTGGTCTTGGGATGTCAACATATTTTTTTCTTTTCCACTCCAGCTTTTGCATAATCCAAGAGGTTCTGCTCCAATATATGAAGATGCCAACTGAACTTCTTCTCCGAAGTTCATCATCTGCAGTCAACTTACAGTTTCCTAAACGGTTCTTCCGTATGGTACCAACAGCCAGTATTCCGTCCTCTTTTAGAGCTATGAGAAGGCTTATAGATGTGAACCAATTGTCAAAATATAACTTATAATTCTTTTGTTTTGGCATACATGGCAAAATCATATATTATCCTTGAAGATACGGCTCGTGTAAACATTTTAAAGCCCCATTTATGAGGTTTGGACGGATTGTACTGTTTATATACTGAACGACCTGTAAATATTAATTTTTTAAGGCAGTCTAAGAGAGGGCGACATTTGTAAAGTTTATCATATTTTGCATCATTTTTGTTATGTTGTTTGCTGTTGTCATTGAAAATCAAATACTCCTTGATTCGCTCAAATCGGCTACGTGGTAAAGATTCTCTTACATCAACAAACTGCGATTCACCCTGACTATTTTGCAAAAACAAAATACAAATGGTACCCCAAATAAACCGCCAACACTACTGAAGTTGTAGACACAGGCACGGTTAAACTGTTTGGTTTGTTGCTGTATACTAGCAACACCAACAAAGTCGTTGTGTGCATTTGTCGCGATGTGACAACACACAACAGTGGAAAAGCAAAGGGTTTGAAAGGTTTTTTGTATAGAAGCAATAGCTTCTGTGGAGAATATCCCAACAAAAAACTAAGGGAACTGATGAGGATCAGTGGCGTGATCCGAAACTATAGTCTTCCCTGCCATACCCCTCGGCAAACAATGCCATACATTCCCCACTAATAAATAGTTGTTTTTTTTTTATAAAGACAACAAACTGAGATTCAGCCTGACTGTTTTGCAAAAACAAAAAAAAGGTATTCATTTAGTTTTGCAATAACATTTTGTTTTGTAGGTAATTTTAATATTATTATTATATTAAAATAATTATTATTATAAAAAATTACGAATTTCAGTATTCCGTTTTCTGTTTCCCTCCATGGTTCTACCCAATATTTCTTCATATTGTGGATAGTTTAACGAATAAGGAATGAACAAAATAGTTAAGCTTGATTTTTTCAAACAGAATGACACATAGCATTTTTTGGGAAACCCTATTGAAACATGGGAAGACCTTGTTCATAAAAATATGAACATTAGTTTAGGATTTCTTAAACATGTCATAAATAATATTTTAGTATCAGAACTAATATGTAATCAGTCTTATAAATATATCTGTGTGTGCATGTATACACATAAGGGATGATAACGCTCCATGCTGCTGAAGACGCATAGCTAATAAATGATATCTCCATAAATATGCGCTCAGCGGGTGAGTCAATAGAGATCACTACAATGTGGTTTAATGTGTGTATGAGCTGATAATGAAGAATTAATAATAATAAAATAATTAATTAATAGCAGCCAACACAAAAATATATTGGTGCGCTCATTTTGTAACGCAAACAAATGAACACACTTATCTCAATTGTTATCTCTTATGTGTATAATATTAGGCTAAGTTGTATTAGTTTAGGCAGTTCTTAAGGAAGAATATTAAATAATAAAATTAGAATCGAATCAGCATTCAACCAAGATAGTTGTTTTGATTCTCCGGCTACATTTGGTCAATCGAGCCGGTTCAAATATTTCGATATATTTGTCACAAATATATTAAAAAAATATTTATTTGTGTAAAAAATATTTTTTCTCAAAAAGTCATTAGTATAAAAACATTTTTATAAATAAAATATTAAAAAAAAAAAACAATAAAGCCATAGGGGCAGCATTAAAAAAGCCTTAGGGGCAGCATTAAAAAAAGCCATAGGGGCTGCATTAAAAAAGCCGTAGGTGCATAAAAAAGCCATAGTAATAAAGTCATCAATAAACAAAATAAGTATTTTAGGACAAGCTTCAGGAGACGCTCGACCTGGACAAACCACAGATGATAAACCGAAAGTTGGGAGATTGTTGGAAAGCTGAAGAAAGACAAACAGCAACCAACACAGCGGAGAGACACCACCTGAGAAAAAGTACGAGGAGAATAAGCGAAAGTGACGATGACATCCTGAGTAAAGCCGAAATAGAAGCTATCAAAGCCCTGGGAAATATGCTGATTAATCGTAACCATTAGTAATTTTAGTAATAATAATTTTAGTTATTCTATTTATAAGAAGAGGCCACGATATAAAAATAGGTTATTTACCGCCCGGGAGAATGTTCATCAAAATATGAACATGAGATTTGTGGTTTTAGTTTAGGATTTTTTTTTAAATTTCATAAATAATATTTAAGTATTAGTACTAATATGTAATCAGTCCTATAAATAAATTTGTGTGTGCATGTATGCACAACTCGTACTTTAATTCGCTGATTTTAGCCATTGTTAAAACACTCTTGTACGCTGGTGCGTTGAAATGTTGTCTCCCACTTTATCTTTCCATAGAATTCGTGACCTTCCCTTCCTACGTGGCACTTCTATAGGCAATTCCAACTACTCTGTTGGCCCATTAAAAGCCAATTACCTTTATGATTACAAATCATAAATCCCGTTATCTAGCACAAATATTTACCTTGAGTTACAATGGACAGGTATGAACGTAAAATAATATGGTTTAGGCAGAGTCCAAATAACGCACATCACAACAAACTCTGAAAAAATATTTTTTAGCGAATTTATGACATTTTAAATATTAATACAATACACTCACATGTTATTATTATTTTTAAATCATGAGATTGTGAAAAACTGTTTTGTAATTTTAACACTACTACTTCATATACGCAATTACAATTTAAAGATTAAAATATTATAAACTATCTAAAAGTAAATTATAAACTACCACAAGCATTCACACACAGCAGCTATTCAATTATTCCCTCAAAAATTGTTTCTTTCTGCGAAAAATCACGTCTTGTTAACCAAAGGAAAAGAGAAGAGGCTGAAGGACAGTCAAAAAGGACACAAAATCTGATAGTTTCTAATTTTTTTAATATATTTTATTTGCTAAGCCTATTTTTTGCCTTTCATTTGCATGGTTCCTACAAGTTCGTACTTCACTGTATATGGGAATTGCGATGAAAAATTCGAACGCTATCGAAAATAGCGGCGTGACTAAATCGACATAGTTTTTTTTTATCATGATGAAGAATAATGCAAAATTATTATACAGCGCTCATTAAGATGGAGGGTACAACAAGATATAGTACGTTAACATTTAACCGGATTTCGTTAACCCAGTGTCAGTTTCTTTGCATATACGTCAAATAAATCCACAACAACAAGTTAAAATGTTCTTAAGTTCGGCCCGGTCGAACTTTTTATACCCTCCACCATGAGGATGACAATCAAACTATTTAAAAATAATGGGGGCTCCTAGGAGAAAACTCACGTTAAGATGAACATGAAAAATTATTATATGGGCCTATATGGGGAGATTTAACAGCCAATGAGAATGCATAATACCAAATTATAGACAATTGGGTTGAAAAAAATATCCTAAATTCTCAAAACACCGGCTTAGATCAATATTAATAACTTTTAGTGGTAAGCAAAATCTTAGAAACAGTTTATACAAAATTTTGATTGAAACTTATACTAGCTTATAGGGTACCGGTGTCACAAAAAATATAACCAAAATTAAAAACAATATTAAATATTTAATGAATATGTATTTATAATAAATAGTTATATTCCAGGTCTCACAAATTAAAATGGATAGAGCATAACCGTTCAATAAAACCATTGAATTTTGATCCAAGAAGACGACCGCGGCGACAAGATTGGACTGGCGAACTTGAAGAAACTGGAATGTTTTACTTCTCAAATAGGCTTCTAGTCAGTCGAAACTTACTTCAAAACGAAAGGTAATATACATAACTATATTCATAAGAGTGTACATTCGTACATGCATATTATCATTGCAACCAACACGAAAATATTGTGAGTTCGAGAGCTACGTAATCCGCAAAATGTTTGCATTGCCAAACAACAAGAAATTAAACCATATTCGACTGCAGATTGGTTATATCGGTTTTTTGAAGGATATGAAACGTTATTTCGACGATTTCGTCGATTCCTGTAAATATATTTTACAATTTTAATATAACATTTTTTAACACATATGAGAAATTAAAAAAATCTTTTAAATTCCTTGAAGCTGAGGTTTGCAAGGTTATAACTCGCGAAATATGAACATATTGCATATAATTTAAATTCATTTCTATAAAATGAAGTGTTCTTGTCAAAATCTTAAAATATTGGTAATAAATAATAAGTTTGGTGGAAGATGTGATGGTGCTAATGTAAAAAATGGGTGAAAATGTGTTGAAGCCAACGAGTTTTTTGTGTTCCTTCCTGATTTGTGGATAAACTACACAACGCTCGCACATGTTATCCGTGATTAAGTTGCAGAATACCCCATGGACAATATTGTTCTAATATATGATTTTTCGATATAATCAATGGATCCACCCAAAATGGATGCTAACATTTTGAAGCCGGATTTTTCATATAATGGACTAAACTGATTATAGGATTGTAGAACTCGTGATTTTGCTTCGTTTAGTGTATATCTCGTGAATGTGCTCACCATAGCTTCGTTGCAATTGGGTCCCAAAGACGAAAATTTGATGCGTAAATTTTTATAAAAAACATATTTTTTGAGTCTAAAATTAAGAAAGTCCATTCAAATTCCGTGGAACCCCGCGTTTTTTTACGTGCCGGATCTAATGAGCCCATCCATGTTCAATTCTGCCCAATAAAACGGCGGATATAGGTACCTTGAATGTGGGAAAAACTGCAAAAACTTATTTGGACAAATTCGCGTACATAATCGCGTTTTTTCTTCGAAATGGTTTCACATACATTCATTCTTGTGTTATCATATTCGCGAATCTGTGTGGAAATAGGTCAAAAATATATCGATACGCGAATAATATGCGTATTTGATCTAAAATCGATTGTGGTGGCACATCCGCGGTTCTTAACCGATCCTTTTAAAATAGGTGTCCTTTTGTGTATTTTCATAGGAGATTACTGAAATCGGATGCGCATAAAAATCGTATGCACGTTGCGTGATTTTTAGTCATTTTTAGGGTTTTTGCATAGTAAATCGAGCGGCACACTTCGGCCGCTAAACGAAACCTCGAAAAATTCATAATTATTGGAAGAGATTGATTCGGTTTATCCGAAAAACGCATGCGCATCAACTGATTTCAACGAATACGCGAATTGCATCCTTTTTAATGTTGATCATTTTCATATACTGTAATTGCAATATATTTGGTCGTTTTTAAAGTCAAAACTCTTAACAATAGAATCTACCGATATTTAACAATCATTTAAAAGAATTTGCAGAAGAAAGCGTGGTATATTTTAGAATATTAACCATAACCATTAACCATACTTAAACATACTAAAAAAATCGAAAATTCAAAAAACCTTTTTATTTTAATTCAAAAAATAATTTATTTTATTTTCCGATATCTTCATGCTTCTATTTGTTTTTCGCGACCATTATACCGTATTTCAATGTGATTTGACAAGTATGCTACGAAAACAAATGTGTTTATCCATTTGTGAAGAATTTTGCGAATTACAACAAATAGGAATTCATTTAATTTATATTTGAAATACGAGATTTAAAATCGGTATAACTTTTGTGCGCAGCATCCGAATTAGTGAACGCGAACTGATTTCGAATCAGCACATTTTTCTTAACCTATGTACCAAAAATCATAAATGTGCTCGCAAAAAAAATTTTTTTTAATGGAATTTTAAAAGAATTTTGTAATTTCCCATATATATCTACAAAACTTAATTTTTGTATGTGTGCTAGTTTGTATGATCCTTTTTTAAATTATTTATATTTAAAATGTTGTGGATATGTTGTTAAAACTTTGTATTTTCCATAACAGCAATATCTTACGCAATCTCAATGTGTTTTGGTAACTGGTTGGAATATTACGCGTGGGGAAATAATTTTGGCGTAAATTTCGTAAAAGGTCCGGCTTTATCGAAATTAGGATCGGCTAGTTCCAGTCCTACAATTGATTCGCGCACGGAAGGTGGAGCCGACATGGGAGCGATAACACCACGGGTGATATTGACTAGACTGGCCGTAACAAATTGTCGTTGAGTCGAAGCAAACTGCGAATTGAATCCCACTAGATCCTACTATCAAAACAGAGACAATCTTCATATTCTAACTCATTTACCTTGGTGCTTGGCTATCGCAGTTGTTGGACTAGAGACAAACTTGACAACATGGGTCAAGCAACGTACGGACCGGTACCGTAGAATATGGCAGGCAAATTCATATCAACAAAGCGGTGGCCAAATACATAGATCGCGTAATGGGCAGTACGGTAGTCGGCAAAACGTGAGGAGGTGGCAAAGGGAAAATACCTCGAGGCACGACATTAATAATTTTAAAGAAATTGGTCAGAACTATTAAAATATTTGCGAAATAGAAAAAGAAAATATCTGTCAACAAGGCAATATAAGAGGTTATTAATTTAAACAAGCGAACACAGCAGAAGTACGCTACAATGTCAAATTATTTCGAAAATTTCGTTTCTACATATTATTTAAATATGGCCGAATAGATAATGAGATTTATATTTTTGTCGCATTAAATTAATGATAAGGTGACGGAAATAAAAATTAGAACTGATTTTTTCACTTTCTCGGTAATATTTAATTTGAGTGGATTGTAAAATATTCAATATCGAAAAATATCGTGTAAAAAATGCGACAAGTACCGCGAAATAATTAAACAACGACACTTTTTCACTTTAGGTATATTTTTTTAAAGTTCACAATAAAACAATATTGTTTTTGTTAAGTATTTTTTCCAAATGACCAATGCTAACATATGTTTGGTGAAAACATATTCTATGCGAACATGAAAAACAAAATAAGGAAAAAATAAATAAAAAATACAAGATTACTGGAGCTCAGTGCAATCGCAGAAGATAGCGGGGGTCGCTGAGGGTCGTTATCGTACTACTACTAAACTACTCCATGTACCAAGGTGAGATAAACCAACAACAACCACCTCTGCGGTCTCCGCTGGGGGAACTTGCTGAGTTGTGTCAACCCGTAGACGTAATTGACTGGGCTCGGGAAATTGGAGGTCAACATATCTAACTTATACAAAATTAAAGAAGTTATTGAGGACCAATTAGGAAGAAGAATAGCGGATGCAGAAAATATTAAGCAGTGTCCTTTCTATGGGAGGTATTCTAAATCCTTAACCAAGAACTAAATTATAACACTTGTTATTGTCTTCGAAGTAATCTGCAAATGTTCATCGAATTTGGTTGAATATTAGTGATTTTATATACCAAAAGAGTAAAATATTCAAGAGCCCATTACATGAGAAGTATCCCAAATTTGGTTCCATATAACTAGTTTTAGCGACTTGCTTTATAGACCTACACCAATTTTCATTGAATATTTAATGATTTTATAGGCCAAAAGTGTACATTTTTCAAGACCCATTACAAAATTTATTATAGGGTTAAGATCGGGACAACTAGCTTACAGTTATAAAGAAGCGACATCCGCACTATATGTAACTTATGCTTAGGATCATTATCCTGATAAAATTTAGAATGTGTTCCGGAAGAACACGATGTTCATTGTTTCTATTAAAGCTAAGTTTCCCATGCCTTTTTCCAATAACTTAGAAATTATTCCAGAAATTATAAATTTGTTCTTTGGAAATTTTTTTGAATATATTTTAAAACATTACATAAATATTCACTCATTTTGTATATGAATTTGACGTAACTAAATTTGTAAGTTGCATACTTTGTATTATTGTGTGATGGTTAAGACTACCGTCAGGTGGCAGAGACCGAAGCAGCTGATGTTTTGGTTAGTTTAAAGGGGTTTCATCCAACAGATATTAACAGCTGCTTTCACTTGGACACTTTCATATTTTTTGGTTGCCTTTTAAAAATTTGTTTTCAAATGAACCAAATAATTGTCCATAGGGTTATGTTGGGGACTTTGAGTTGGCGCATACAAAACTTGGCCACGGGTTATAAAGAAGCCACATCAACACTATATGTGACTTATGCTTAGGATCATTATCCTGCTAAAATTTAAAATGTGGTTTGATATCCACGATGGAGCCAAAGTTCATAACACTGGCCTAATTGTTGTTGGTCGTCCATCATTGTTTCTATTAAAGCATTGCCTTCCACGCTATTGCTTGATATGCGCCCCAAATCATTATTGACATTTTTCCAAATTTGAGCGTTGGAATGATGATCTGCCTCAAAGGCTTGTGCCATACTCTTCTTGTTCCATCGTTATAATATATTGTAAATGTTGATATTTTGTTTGTATAGCTTGGTGGTAATCCTTTTCTTATTCTTCATTTACTCTCTCTTTGTTATGCTTTGACTATTCCTATTTAAACATACATATGTAATCATATTAACCAATCATCTTTGGCGATCCAAAATTTTTGTGATGTGAAGCTGAATCAACTGATGGAGAATCAAGTGTGGATGAGAACACAAATGAGAATGATGAGAGAGCAGGAGAGTCTCCTACTACAGAGGAAATCGCTAATATACCGAGACAAAGCGAAAGGGTATGAAAACCAAACAGCAGATTTTCAGATTACTACCTGTCATTGTTTGAGACCGTAACAGCTGATCCAAAAATACCTGAAACCTATAACGAAATTGAAAGAAGTCCAAACAAAGAGGAATAGTTATCGGCGGTTGAACAAGAAATAAAAGCTATGGAAATCAACAAAGTTTGAAGAATCGTGAAGTGTCCAGAAGGTGTGAAACCCTTACAATGCAAATGGGTGTTTGCAATAAAGAAAGATGAAGATGGCAATCCCA